TAGTTTAAAACCGATTTCAATCATCCTGATCATCGCCCAGAATCAATGTTGGCCGATGTAAATCGTCTAGGACATCGTCCTAGCCGATCCTACGATCGTCCCGGACGATGTGATCATATCAGTCAGTCATTAATGCTTTCTAAAGATACCATATCAAATTAGGCATAAATTAGTTAGATTGTCCTGGACGATGTGTATATCGTCCTGGCCGATTTCCTAAAATAAAGAATACCTAATCTGATTATGGCAGTTGATTGTTTCTGAATTGAGCCTATCGTCCTGGCCGATACAGGGGTCGTCCAGGCCGATTAACATATGACGGCTACCTTAATGAGGATGCCCTAATTAGGGTTTCTGTTTTTGGACATCGTCCAGACTGATATAAATATCGTCTCAGACGATGTTACCAAAAATAGAAATTTTTAGGGAACAATAGAAAATCTTCCAAGTTACAAATCATCAGGTGCCAAACCAAATACAACAGACTCAAGAAAGGAAAAAGCGTACAAACTGACTCAGACCTAGTCTACCCAATCTTGTGTTGGTTCCAAATTGTAGTCTGATTGTGTGGACCTGAAATGTCAGTACAAAAGGCAATCGTAAAGAAATAAGAATGTTTGTTATCATCAAAATCATAAATCATAGATCGCAATAAAATTATTTAATTTAATTTAAAATTGATGATATATTTAAAAAAAAAACATTTACAATAATCTCCCTCCTATTGCCTGTTGGAATGTGAAAAGATTTAACAGGTCGGATAAAATTCTTGCCTGTAAAAATCTTATTAATTTTTATAAGCTGAAAAATGTTTTGTGTTATTGAAGCTATGATTCAAAAGACTTCTCTTGATGACCCTTGGTTTGTTAACTCTCACAATCTTTTTGAGAATTAAGGTTACTGTCATAACTTTGAAGTCTCTTCTCTTGGCAGAATTTGGGTCAAATGGGATTCTTCTTGTATTTCCTTTGTCCCTATTATTATTAACTCTCAGTTTATTAATGGAAAGATCTCCCTTGGGATTTTTCTACTTCCTTTTTTATTTATATTATTCATGCTGCTAACTCTCATGAAGATAGGAAATTTCTTTGGGATCACATCCGCAATATGGCCAAGGACATTTCCCAACCCTAGATTCTTGCTGGGGGTTCCAACTGTTGTAGGCAGGAATAAGAAAAGATAGGTGGTTCTCCTTTGCTTCCTAGTGGGGTTGGGGATTTTAATAATACTATTTTTGATAATGAGCTTACTGATTTAGCCTCGGTTGGCTTGTACTACACTTGGTTTAATCAGCAAAAGATAATCCCATCTTATGTAAGCTTGATAGGGCTTTAATTAATACTGAGTGGTTGGAAAATTTTCCAAAATCTTATTATAAAGTGGACCCTCCTCATTGCTCTGACCACTCTCCGATATTGATTCAATTTGACAATATTCAACAAAAACCATCTAGGTTTATGTTTAAAAACTATTGGTCTAAACATGATGGCTTTAAAGCAGTTCTATTGAATGCTTTTCTTAGTTGTCCCCTCTCTAGTCCTATTGCTTCTCTGTATTCCAGCTTGCAAAATTTAAAAAGGCTTATCAAAAAGAAAATTAGAATTATGATAGTTACATTTCCAAGGCTTTAAATGATCTTAAAGAGAAGCAATTGTATTACCTTCATGAAATTGAGAAACATCCTTTGGACGGTTTGCTCAGTTCCAATTTAAAAGACATTAATGATCAGCTTATCAGTTATAAAATCTCTTGGTCTTCTTGGTTGACCCAAAGAGAAAGTCAGATGGTTTTCTGCTGGTGAGGAAGATTTGGGTTTTTTATATCCTAAGATCAGGAGTAGGAATAACATCAATTCTATTAAGGTTTTAAACACTTCTGATGGTATCCTTACCGATCATAATGTTATTGCCCAAACTCTAATTAATCATTTTAGTAATTTGTTTAATACCCCGACTCCCATTCATGCTAACACTTCTATGTTTCCTACTGATGCTACTCTTTCTCAAGAAGCTGCTAGCTTCATGATTAGGTCTTTTTCTAATAAAGATATCAAAGAGGTGGTATTTTCTTTTTCCACGGGCTCCTCTCCTGGGCCCGATGGTTTTACTACTGAATTTTACAAAGACAATTGGGAAGTGGTTGGGATTAAAGTTTGCAATGCTGTTAAGAATTTTATGAAGTATGGTCATTTTCCCAAAGGGGTAAAAGCTACTGCTATCACTCTTATCCCCAAAAATTCTCATGCTTACACTATCTCTAACTATAGACCGATCTCTCTATGTAATGTCTTTTATAAAATTGTGGCCAATCTTCTTGCTAATAGACTAAAACATGTTCTTCCTCGCATTATTCATGAGAGCCAAGCTGGTTTTATTAAGAATAGGTCCTCTACGGACAATATTATTTTGGCCAACGAAATTTTGAAGGATTTTAATAATTCTAAGAAATGTTTTTGTGTTAAGCTTGATATTCTTAAGGCCTTCATCTCTGTTTCCCAGGATTTTATTATTAATCGTATGAGGAATAAAGGTTTTCCTGAGAAGTTTTTAAGCTGGATTAAAGGCTGCATTAATAATATTCAATTTTCTATTTACTTAAATGGCTCTTTAGAGGGGTTTTTTAACTCCACTTCTGGGCTTAGACAAGGATGTCCGCTTTCTCCTCTTCTTTTTAGTATTGTGATGGATGGCCTTTCTAATATGATGCATGACAACAATAATCATCACTTTAAATGCATTCTTTCTAATGGGCATATGTATACTCACTTACTCTATGCGGATGATGTTCTTATTTTTTGAGAGAATTCCAATAAAAATGTGAATAATCTCAAGTTAATTCTTGAGGACTTTGGTAATGCTTCTGCTCTTCATATTAATCTTCAAAAAAGTTTTATTATCTTCTCGGCCCGCTCAAGTCAACATGAGGTTATAGGTAATATTTTGGGTATTAATTACTTTGCTCATTTCCTTAATTACCTTGGTTTACCTATATCTCCGAATAAGACAACCCCTTACCAATAAAATTTATGGGCTTCTGGAAGGTTGGAAAGTGAAACTTTTGTCTTTTGCGGGGAGAATTCAATTTCTCAAATTTTCTATTGCTAACTCTTTATCATATTGGATTAGGGGTGCTATTATTCCCAATAATACTTGCAAAATTATTGAGAGGTTATGCTCTAGGTTTTTATTTCAAGGTAACACTAAAGAGAAGAAACTGCAAACCATTGCTTGGTCTACTGTTTGTACTCACAAAATTGCTGGTGGACTTGGCTTACATTCTATTAAATCTCTTTATCATAGTTTCACTTGCTCTCTCATTTGGATAATTATGACCAGTGACAGTGGTTTGGCTCATTGGTCTAAAGGGAAATTTTCTTCCACTTGGAAACCACCTTCGGTGGAGGCTTCTAAAATGTGAAAAATGATTTGTGAGGTGGCTGGTACCATTAAGCATAAATTTTCTTTAAATATTATGGCTGACAGCAACTTCTCTTTTTATTGGGATCCTTGATGTAATGGCAAAGCTATAGCCAATATCATTAATCCTCCTACTAATGCTTATATTCCAGTCAAAAATTTCATTTTCCAGAATAATTGGAGTATTAATTCTGACACTCCGAGAATAGTGGTGGATGAAATTATTAATATTCAAATTGGTAAGCAACCGGCTATGCTTTGGGACGGCTTACCAAACCTGACTCATCATTTATATATGGCTAGCTTTCATTAAAATTTGTCTACTATTTCTTGGCAAAAATTTATTTGGTTTAAAAAGTATGCTCTCAGATTTTCGGTCTACTCTTGGATGACTTTGATGGAAAAATTAAAAATTGCTTATTTACTATTAAGAAGAAATTTAGATATTATTTCTTCTTGCTGTTTTTATCAGAATTATAATGAGAATCATAAGCACTTATTCTTTGAGTGTGATTACTCATTTACTGTAATTTCATACTTACTTCCTCATATTAGCAAGTTTTATATGAGACCTACTTTAATTCAATTACAGGAACACTTTGATCAAATTCAAGATTTTTCTATTAAAGAGAAAAAATTCATTTACCTAGTCATTACCTTCTTGGTTTATTTTCTTTGGATTGAAAGGAATAACAGAAGGTTTTCTGGGAAATGGATTTCCCCCCGAACTTGTAGTTTTTCTATTAGAAAAGCTATTAAATTGAAAGTGTCTACTGGAATAACAATGAGGATATTCATAGAAAATTTCCTGATATCCTTTACTGATTCTCATTTATTTTCTTTTTTGCATAATTTGAACACTATCTGGGAAAATTTTCTTGGAGAGGGATTTGGACAACACTGGATGGAAACAAGTACTGGAAGGATACGACTTGGAGCTTGCGAAACCTGGGACCTGGAGTTAACGTGGAAGAACCATTCTTTCATGCTATGGATTACGATTTTTAGCTTCTGCAAATTCGATTCCGAGCATGCCATTGCTCAGTCAGGGACTTGTCTCTCTCTCAGCGCTCTAGTGGAGCTGGTTGTTGTTGAAGTTCAATTTTCTTGGTTCTTTGTTTATCTTTATCCTTTATTTTGTATTTTCCTTATTTTATAACTTGTATAGAATGATGGCTGTTTTTTCTTTCCCATTTCTTTTTTCCTTTTAGATTGTTTTCTCTTTTATATTGTTGGACTTTGTATTTTTAATTTTTAATAAAATGGGCTCTACCTCAAAATTTTCCCAAAAAAAAAAAAATAGATCACAACCCTTTAAACAATATATAAGTTTGAAAAGAGAGATATCCACCGTCTAAGCGGTAATCAAACCGACTTCCGCTCATTTTTTTCGACCGTTGAGCCATACCCTTCCACGTAATCATCATTCGCCCATCTTCCCTCAATAAAGAGCTCTGCTTGCTAGCCGACTGTTAGATTTCAAAAACAAAGTTAGTATCGTCTTGCTCTTTCTCTCTCCCTCTCTCCCCACCACCACCGTGAAAAAGAACCAGCCGCTAGCCGTCTTAGGATAGAAAACGCAGAATGGGTTGTATCTACTCCAAGTCACTCTCCGCCGGCGATCTCCACGTCTTCTCCGGCAACAAAGGGCCCATTTCTGGCACCGACGATGGTGATCTTCCCACTCACTCGGTATTCCTCACCTCTTCCACCTACGGCGTTCTCAACCTCGATCCCTTCGAGAACCAAAAGAGTGTAGCCTTTTCCCCTAATGAATTTCCCATCCTCTTTCCCGAATCCAAAAAGACGTCTTTTGTGGATCGGTCACCAGAGATCATCAACTGGGTGCTGGTAGAAGATCCTCAAGATGCCGGAACTCCCCATTGCTCGCCGCAGAAGAAAACCACGAAACGGCCACCTGCCGTGCTTAGCCCATCTCCCAAAATACAGGGGAAGTTCATCGGAAAAGAGAACAGAACTCCCCGTCCCAGAACTCCAGTTACCGACCACAATCGAGTCCTGAAAACTCTAATTTTCTCAGAAAACAAGAAGTCTGGATCTAGACGGAGCTCATCTCCGCTGTTCGATCCTGAACTCGTGGCTTCCTTCGAGCAAGAGCTCGATTCCGAATCTGAACAGATCAAGAAAATGGTTTCCCCAAGAAACTGGAAAAAAGAAGATAGATCGAGCAGTTTTCTTTTCTCGTTTGAAGAAAATTGCCCGCCTGGGGGAGAGAATGCAGTGGTGCTCTATACAACTAGTCTGAGAGGGATTAGAAAGACTTACGAAGACTGCAATTTGGTTCGTTCGGTGATTGAATCTTATAATGTCTATGTTATTGAAAGAGATGTTTCCATGGATTTAGGGTTTAGAGAGGAGCTGAGGAAGTTATTGGGAGGGACTAAAGAGGTAAAAATGCCAGTTTTATTTGTGAAGGGGAGAATGGTGGGTGGAGCTGATGAAGTATTGAAGCTTGATGAAGAGAGAAAATTGGAGATTTTAATGGAGGGTGTTCCTAAGGCTGTGATGAGTTGTTCGGAATGTGGTGGGTTGAGATTTGTCATGTGTAAGGAGTGTAATGGGAGTTGTAAAGTTTTAGATGAGGGTGAGAAGAAGAAGAAGTGTGGTTTTTGTAATGAGAATGGGTTGGTTTATTGCTTCTCATGTAGCAAATAGGTAAAGCGTTTGATAAGATTGGATTATGAATGTCTTATTTGCTGAGATTTTATCTGAACGTGTTATTTGGCTGATATTTTTTCTGAGTTAACTGCTTAAGAATGAATGGGTTTTTTAAAACAAGCTTGCTGCTGAATTCTCTTGTTGTGCTGCTGGCGTCAGTTATGAGAATTTTTAATATGGGTAGATTAACCATCTATTATCTGATGGTCGTATGATTGTAGGCTATAGTGTTATTTACTGATATTTTTATGTCGTTAAGTAATTTTTTTTCTAATTCTGAATTCTTAGTTGTTCTTAGAAACAAAGTTTATTTGAAATTTTCTGTGTATTTTTTAAAATTTGTTGCCGGATTTACTCACTGCTGTAGAAAAGTATAAAATTTCACGTCTTAGCTTTGTACGAAGATAGAAAACGCATACAACTATAAGAGAGAGAGCGTAGCGTTCATAAGAGACACCAGAGTTTTTACATAGAATCCACTAAAAGGGGAAAAACCACGGGGTTTGACCTAGTTTGAATGAATCCATTATTATTTGCAATTGATTACAAATGAGGCCCATCTTTGAGGGCAGGCATTGGGTTGATGTAGCAAATGTATATCATATTACATGGTGTGAATTGGAAGAATTAGTATTGAAAAATTCGTTTGATCGGTAGAACCATAGTCGTTGGGCGATGGAAGTCGGCAAGAGCGTAGTCTTGTGACGGTGATCGAAAGGACCATTGTCTGACAGGGGAGGTCTGAAGGATCGTAGTCGGTGGGAGACAGTGGTCACAAAGACCATTATCTTGCGATGGCGATCTGAAGGACCATAGTAGGCGACCGAGGTCGGAAGGGTCGTAGTCGGTAGGAGACAGTGGTCAGAAGGACCGTAGTAGGCGACAGAGGTCCATAGTTGCCGAAGGACCGTAGTCGGCAGGAGACAGGGCTCAGAAAGATCATTGTCTAACGGTGGAGGTCGAAAGGACCATAGTAGGCAATGAAGGTCAAAAGGAGATAGGGTTAGAAAGACCGTTGTCTAGCGATGGAGGTCGAAAAGACCGTAGTAGGCAACGGAGGTTAGAAGGACTATAGTCGATAGGAGACAAGGGTCAGAAAGACCTTTGTCTAGCAGTGGAGGTCAGAAGGATTGTAGTCAGTAGGAGACAAGGGTTAGAAAGACCTTTGTCTGGCGATAGAGGTAGGAAGGACCATAGAAGTCAATGAAGGTCGGAAGGACCGTAGTTGACAGGAGACAAATGTTAGAAAGTCAATTTTCTGGCGGTGGAGGTTCGAAGGACTATAGAAGGTAATAGAGGTCGGAAGAATCGTAGTCGATAGGAGATAAGAGTCAGAAAGACTGTTGTCTGGCGATGGAGGTTGGAAGGATCGTAGTAGGCCACGACAGTCAGAAGGACTATAGTGTGAGACCTCGTTCCCTTACTGTTTCTCTCTAGATTGGATTTTCCTCCCAGGATCGTCCGGGACGATATTGAGATCGTCCAGGCCGATCTGTACGGTTCAAAATATCGTCCTGAGAATAGTTCTGGGAACCGTCCAGGACGATCGATTTTGGTCTGATCGTCCTGGGACGATTTTGCGATCGGCCGGGCCGATCAGCTTTATGATATAAGAAAATCAGCTCGTTTTGAGGAGAGAGAAAATCATTTTTAAAACAAAATATCTGATTTGAGGAGAGAGAAAGAGAAAGGGAAAAGAGGAAAAGCTGGGTTTCGGAGGCCGCGGAGCGCTTTTCGTCCGACGCCGCTGTTGGGAAAAGTAAAGATCTCATGGTAAGGACTCCGAATCCTATTTATGTTTTCAGAGATATTGAGTTTTGACCGAGTTGTGCATTGTTTTGTGTTTTCGTAGTCGAATTTTGGACATGATTTCGATTTGACACAACTTTCACCGCACAACTTTTGGTATGTTATAGATATGACTATTGTACAGGATTTGAGTATTTTCTGCGACGATTTTACTGGTCAAAATTGATTCTACGCGATTTTAATTGAATAGAAAAATATCAGAACTTGATTTGATTTGGATTCTATAGAACGATAGTCTTGTATTGATGTCGTGGATATTATACTGTAATTTGGAGAAATTTGGAATTTGTGCCTTTTTGCAGGATTTTTGTGTAAATTTGACAGACTGCCGTTACTCTGCCCGATTTTCGTATGATTTCTGATTTTCTCGAAATTGATAGATTGAATTGATATGCGTATGTCTATTGATATGATTGTTCTAGATTGCTTTAATATTGCTTCTTGCATTGACTATTGATTGAATTGATTGTTACTGAAAGACAAGTGAGAACCTGGTTGAACGTTGGTTGGAGATAGATATTGACCTGTACAGGATAGTGGGCCGACGGGCTTTCCTTTAAACATCGAATATGGATTTCTACAACAGCACTATTGATGGGAGTCATAAGGGGTTTATAGATATGCCGATGGGCGGCCGACGGGCAATAGAGTGACGACTCTTTTTATTGAAACCAACGTATGGATATCTACAACAGCAATATGGATTCTACAACAGCACTATGGATTTCTACAACAGCACTATTGATCATAGCTAGTGTTTGTGCTGGTCTAGTAAGACCATTGTATGGAATTGCATGTATACGATATTGCATCGTATGGATTTCCTGATATGCATTGATTTATTGATTTCTTATTGATTTATTGATCTTGATGGATTTATTGAATTGATTTATTGTTGAACAGATTTATTGATGGATTTATGGATTTACTGTATCGTACGATTTCATTGATTGATCATTGAGCATTGATACTATTGATTATTGATTATTGACATTGATATGGACATGGACGACATAGATTTATTGATATTGTATAGACTCATTGATACTATTGATTTTGCATTGATTTGACTTACTACAATTGATTTATCGTATCGCTTTTCCGATTGATTTTATCGATTTAATAGTATAGATTTGATTTGATTTGATTGATTGATTTGAGGGATTGATTTGACGGACGGATTGACTGATTTGACGGATTGATTGATTTTCTTTTGTGTACGGATTTCTTTGAGATTGACGTGGATTGATTGAGCTTGGTTTATTGATTTGCCTGCTGCTGTATTGATTGGTTTTATTGACTATGGATTGTATTGATTCATAGATACCGGCACCGATATTGATATGGATTATGCGTATTGATTCATAGATATTGACACCGATATTGATATAGATT